GAAATACTACTTTCCCGAGGTCCCTACTAGGCTTCGCTAGTGTAACCTGTGTACATGATACTGAATATATTCTTTCTGTTTGCTGGCATAAATAGAAGAAAATCTGTTCCTATGCCACATATTATGGGGATACTTAGACCACCCCTACACCCTTTCAGAGGCTGTAGTGAGCCTTAACAAATGGAAATTAATGGTTAAGTCTAATAAAAGGTAGAATTAATAAAAACAAACATTCAACCACTCTCACACCACACACAAATAATTGAGGTCTCTTGCTGCTCTTTCCAGATGACCTTCAGTGAGGGCAATACAAAACTTTTATTCCACTCATGATTTTAGTCCTGATATAAATGAAATTCTTTAAAAGAGGTGAATTATTAATTAACACCCCTAAAAGGTTGTATATTTTGCCAGCCTTTAACACTGGAACTGAAAGTGTTACACATTGTAATAGGCACCTTCTTAGAACCCTCATTAAAGTTGCTCTCTGCTCAGGTAACAGCTTCATTGGGAATCATCAAATCTCTTAGCACAAGGGTCCTGATAATTGAGGCCAAACTTTCCACAGGGCTTTCATTTTCACTTGGTTCCGGTAGCCCATTTTGCTGTGGTAGTTCTTTCATATATATTGGCGCTCAGGGAACCAGTACTAACTAACATATTCTTATAAAAAAATAGCTCTGCTTCAGAAGATATTTTACTCAGATAAAGTGAAAGTAAATTTGGTTTAATTTTCAATTCCATATAGAGATTTAAAAGTCATTTATGTTGTAAGTGCTTTGGAGTGGTATATTGAGGAATATTTATTCTTTACTTTGCTGGAGCCATTCTTATATTTAAAAAGTGAATATAAATTAGGGAATAATGGTATCCAATCTTTTATAATGTATACTTGTGTTATCTCATATGTTTGTTCTATAAGACGTGTCATGGGTTATCAGGCATAAATTATTGTGCTTTAGCTCTTTGGAGTTCTTCAATATAAGTCTGTCTTACCCATCACTAAAACATAATTTCAAAAATCATGTTCTTATTTCTTAATTGCCACTGCTGGTTTGTAATAAATATTGATTATGCTTACTAGCTATATATTTTATTTTAAAGTGAGGATTTGCATACATAATATCACTAAAATTTTCATATGGCTATCATACAAACAGTAGTAATTTGAAATACAATGTATTTTTTTCCACTAGGAACTACAAAAATAAAGATGAATAAGTCTAAATCATTTCTGCACCATCCTCTTTTTTTAACATTTTATTCTGAGATAACTGTAGATTCACTTGTAGTTGTAAAAAGTCATACAGATTCCATGCACCTTTCACCAAGTTTCCCAAAATGGTAACTTCTTGCATAACTATAATACAATACCACAAACAGGAATTTGACAATGATACAATCCCAAGTTTTACCAGTTTTGTATACTCTTGGTGTATATATTCAGTTTTATGTAATTTTATATATAGATTTGTTTGGCCATCACAATGGTCGGGATAAAGAGCAGTTCCATCACAAGGATCTGTCATGCTACTCTCTGTAGCAATAACCACCTCCCACCTCCCTTAACCCTGGCAACCACTAATCTATTCTCCACTTCAATAATGTTAAATAAATGGAATCATACAATAAAAATTTTTTGAGATCTATCATTTTCACTCAGCATAATTCTATTGAATTTGTGTGTTTGTGGGTCTGTTTTTGTGTTCCCTATTCTGTTCCACTGATCTGTGTATCTATATCTTCACCAAAACCACATTTCTTTTATGAATGTAGCTATATAGAAAGCCTTAGCATCAGGTAGAGCCTTGGCATCCTTCCCCATTTATCCTCCTTCTTAAAATTGTTTTAGCTATTTTAGATCCTCTACATATATAAAGTTTAGAACAAACCTGTCCATGTCCACACACATACACACAGAAACCCTTGTGTGGATTTAGATAGAAATTATAATTAATTTATTGATTAATTCAGGGAATCTTCTGTCCTCCTTTAAAAGCCCCCAGAAATTTTGAAGTTCACGTCATAACCCAAAGTTCACACTAACCTTCCATGTTGCTATCAGCAGCTCATACTTAATGATATCTGTAGTTCGGGTTCATTCTTTTTCTCTCAATTATTTTCTAGGAATTGTCAACACCAGTGTAGAGGGCTTATTACAGCTTTTGGGTTTCTTAAACACCTTTCCCGAAATGACATTTTTCTACATGTTGTCACATCATTTTTATGTTATATCGCACCATCTGGACATCTGTGTAACAGGAAGCATTCTTTAACAGTCAATTGACTTCAGCGCATCGCTTCACCAGTTCTTCAACTGTATTAAAAACTTTAATAGTGCTGGAACAATAGGATATCAATATGCCAAAAAAAAGTTAAAAAGATTATTAACCCATACCTCATACCTGATACAAAATTTAATTCAAAATGGATCAGAGACCTAAATGCAAAACTTCCAACAATGGTTCTAGATATAGAGCGGACATGAAGTAATGAGCACAGGGTGTTATATGCAACTGGTGAATCACTAAATTCTACCTCTGAAAGTAATAATACAGTATATGCTAGCTAATTGATTTGAAATAAAATAATATATGAAAAATACATCTAGAAGAAAATATAAGGAAATACTTGTGATTTGGGCTAGGAAAGTTCAAATTCATAAATTGGCATCATAAGAATTAAGAATTTATGCTCTTCGAAAGTCGATGTTGAGAGAATGAAAAGGCAAACCACAGATGGGGAAAATATTAGCAAACCGCACATCTGATAAATGACTTCTATCCAGAATAAATAAAAATCTCTCAAAATCAATATTAAGAAAGCAATCCAGTAAAAGCTTGGCAAAAGATTTAAACAAAAAATTACTGAAGAAAATATATACATAACAAATAAGCGTATGGAAAGATGCTCATCACCATTATCATTAGGGAAATACAAATTAAAAGCACACCAATATATCTCTACATACCTATTAAGATGGCTATTTTTTACCAAGTGTTAATAAAAATCCAAAGCAACTAAAATCATATATTATGCAAGAATACTCTTTTAGTACAGCTACTCTGGAAAACAGTTTGGCTATTTCTTATAGCTATATACACATTTACCATATGACCTAATAGTCCTACATGTAGGCATTCATCAATGTGAAATTAAAAACTTTATTCAGACAAAAACCATGGAGAAATGTTAAAGTGACTTTAATAGTAATTGCTTCAAACTAGAAAAACTACATAGTACAATATTACAACGAGGACATTGACACTGATAGAGTCAAGACACAGAACATTTCCATCCATAAAGATCCCTCTTGTTGCACTTTTATCACCACATCTACTCCTTTCTCATTTGTACCACCTCAATCCCTGGCAACTCCTCATCTGTTCTCTCATTCCAAAATCATATTATTTCAAGACTGTTATAAAGATGAAACCATATAGCTTGTGATTGAAGGATTTTTTTTCACTTAGCATAATACCCTGGAGATTTATCTAGGTTATTATATCTATTGATAATTCATTTGTTTTTATTGCTAAGTAATATTCCATGATTTAGATGTATCAATTTGTTTCACAATTAACTCTGTTTGGAAAAAAAAAACCCAACCCCTGTGTTTACTGCAGCATTATTTACAATAACCAAGATATGAAAGAACCTAAGTGTCCATTAATAAACAAATAGATAAGGAAGTACATATGCAATGGGATATTATGTAGCCATAAAAAAAGGATGAGACTGCCATTTGAGACAACATGGATGCACCTAGAAGCTATTATTATGCTAAGTGAAATAAGTCAGATTAAGAAAAACAAATTACCTATGATTTCACTCATATGAAATCTAAAAAAACAAATGAAGAAACAAAAAGCATTATCAGACCCATAAGTACAGAAAATAAACTGATGGTTGCCAGAGGGGAGAGGTCTGGGGAGTTTGGCAAAATGAGTGAAGTGGAATAGGAGATACCGGCTTCAAGTTATGCAATGAACAAGTCACTGGAATAAAATGCACAGTGTAAGAGATATAGTCAATGATGTAATAGTGTTGCATGGTGACAGATGGTAGTGGTACTTCTGGTGAGTGCAGTATAACATGGAGAAGTTGAATCACTATGTTGTACACCTGAAACTAATGCAACATGTGTGTCAACCATATTCAAATATTTAAAATCAATAAAAATTGAAGTATTAAAAATGAATAAAAGGACATGATAATAAATAACAAGATTAAGACTATTGCAAAACATATTATATTTGAATTTTTTTGTAAAGTTAGCAACCTTAGCACAAGCCTAATGTCTGAATTTTTACCTTCTAAATTATTGAAATATTTTGATCCACAAAAATAAGGTTAGGTCATTTGTGCTTAATTTCTAACTTCATATTTTATATACGAATTTGATATCTAACTTAATATGTTATAATTCTGCTCAGATAATGTATTATCATCATTCCACATTCTGTGCTTCAAAAAGTAAATTTTCGAGGGCTAGGGCAAGGTGGTGGAAAAGTAAGGTCCCCAGGTCACCTGTCCACACCAACTTACCTAGATAACTTTCAAATCATCATGAAAACCTATGAATTAGGCCTCAGACTTAAAGAGAGAACAGCTGGAACGCTACAGAGAGAAGAGTCTGCGCTTCTAACAAGGTAGGAAGGCAGAAAAATAAATAAATAAATAAACAAACAAATTAAATAAATAAATAAATAAATTAAATAAACACACAAATAAATAAGAATCCAGTGGGAGAGGGGCCCCTAGGACAGGAAAGCCCAGGACCAGAGAAGCAGGAACTTTAACAATCTTCCCGGATGGAAAGGTGCTCGCAGGGAACTTGGACAGGACCCCAGGAGGGGCAGTGGAGCCCCCAGGTTCCCAGGGGCACTAACAGAGGAGGGGGGCCCAGGGGAGAGCCCCCTGCACATCTCGGCCGAGCTCTGTGAAGGGCTGGAGCGCACCCAGTGAGGCCTCAGGAGCAGCTCTGCGGAGGGGGCTGCATGGCCCGGAGCCTGATTCCAGCGGTGCAGGCCCCAGAGCCCAGGGTGTCGGGGGACACAGCCTACGATCCTGTGCCCCACCCCGGGACAGGTGTAGGCGGGGAGGGCACAGGGCAGCGAGGACGCTCCTGCAGCTGGGTGCCCTCCAGCTGTGCAGGTCAGCGCCCCCACCCCTGGAGCAACCAGGCCAGTGCGGACTGGGAGACTGGTGATTACTGCAGGAGCTGACTCCAGCCTGGAGAGCTGGCCGCTGCCAGTGGTGGTGTCCCTCCTGGTGTCACTCTGTGCCTGGGAGGGAGCAGGGCTGCCAGGAAACAGGGGCCCAACATGATAAACAGCTCTAAGCCCTGCACCTGGCAGGGGCTGGGGCAGCTCCCCCCTGCACATACCTGAGAATCAGCACAGCGGCCCCTCCCCCAGAAAACCTGCTGGAAGGACATGGGAAGAGCAAGTTCTTCACCAAGCAGCGCTAGAAAGCTCCAGGGGATGTCAAGAGACTTACAATACATAGAACCAGAGGATAACCCTCCTTGTATTTTTGTTTTTGTTTTTTTGTTCTTTGTTTTTTGTTTTGTTTGTTTTTTCCCTTTTTCTTCCTCTCTTTTTTTTTTCCTTCCTTTTTCCAGTACAACTTGTTTTTAGCCATTCTGCACTGAGCAAAATGACTAGGAAGAAGAACTCACCACAAAAGAAAGAATCAACATTACCTATGTGGACTACTATCTTCACCAGCCTCAAGTGGCAGCAATCTTCATTATTTCCTACTTTCTGATCTTCTTCCTGTGTATGGTGGGAAATACGGTGGTGTGCTTTACTGTAATGAAGCACAAACATATGCACACAGTCACTAATCTCTTTATCTTGAACCGGGCAATAAGTGATTTATTGGTTGGCATATTTTGTATGTCTATCACGCTGCTGGACAATATTATAGCAGGTATGCTGATTTGTGTGCAGTGCAAGGATAACGGGAGGAAATGTCTGTCCCCTATCCCTGCACCTGGCAGAGCCATCTATTCATTTGCAAATATTTATGGAATTCCAAGAACTGCTCCAGGTAACTGCCCTCACAGCTTCTACATTCTAAGAGAGGAGAGAGACAATAAACCAATAGATATAGCATAAGTAGTTGAGAATAATAAGAAGTAGGGGTAAAAATAAAGCAAGTGACAGAGATGAAGAGTAGAGATTCATTTTTACAGAGAATTCACTGAAGGTCATCAGAGAATCAGATCTATCGTTTCTTACTGAAGACTTTGAATTTTCTTGATATAGTTCAGGGCACATATAATGTGGTAGGAATATTATTGGTAATATTATACACTGTAAAGCTCAAGAAACTGGTTAAGTCTGGTTTCCGGTGATACAATTTCTTCACTCTAACAAACAGGTATTGAGGCCCTCTTGTGGTTAGCTAGGGAGATTTCCAATAGTTTTTGAGGGAAGATGGAGCAGCAGTCCCTGATTTCTCAAAAAGTGGTAGTTTGTCAGTGGTAATGTACATATGCAACATTAGTAACTTCACGTTGTAGCTGTTAGAGTACTAGCCTACAGTCCTTCTGGCTTGCATTACTACATTATATACTCTAGAAGTGCAGGGGCAGTGAATCCCCAGCTCCCAGAACAATATTGGTACATAAGTACCTTCTTAATAAGTATTTGTTGTATTAATTAATGAACAGTATTCAAGATATATTCCAAATCAGTATAAGAAAAAATGATAGGAGGTGGGTGGGGGGATGGGGTAACTGGGTGATGGGCATTAAGGAGGGCACTTGAAGTAATGAGCACTGGGTGTTGTATGCAACCAATGAATCACTAAATTTTACCTCTGAAGCTAATAATACAGGATATGTTAATTTAATTTAATTTAATAATTTAATTTAATTAAAAAATTTTAACAGAAAAAATGATATCAAAAATATTTAGAACAGCATGAGCCCTATGATAGTTCTTAGCTTTTCATAGTATTCAGGATGTGTTTAGTGAAGAATAAGAGGTTTCTCTTTAGAGTTGACTTCTTTTTCCTTCTTTTCTATGGAGTGGGAGCCAGGGAGAGTCTTAGAGTGCCTCTTCTAGCATCTGTACTCATAGATTCTGCATTTTTTGTGAGGTCTAGCATTTAAAACAAAATTATCAAAAATGTACATTTTTAAGGTACTCTATTAAGCCAAAGAAATGAAAAAATTGATTCAAGTTATTGTTATTGCTCTCAAGAAACATTTTTGCCAGTAAGAAATGTTCTCAGTCCCCCCCCATAAATATTTACAATGAAAGTATTATCTCAACTTCTCCATACACATTATTACCCTTTCCATTCACAGGAGGCAGTCACATTCAGCATCTTGCCTTTATCTTTGGTAGTTACTCTCATATTTCTAAGCAACATGTTTCCACCGTAATGTTTTTTGTTCACACTGTGGGAGATGCACTTTAGTTGTACTAAATATCTCCTACCGCAAGAGGTAGTTTCCCTCACCAGACTCCACTGAAATGACATAGAACAAAAGAACATAAATCCATAGCAACTGTCAGATACTGCCAAAAGTGAAGCTGAGAAAGCAGGTTTGGCTGGAATTGTGTAGAAACGCAATCAGATGCATTTATATAGACATACAAATACACCTTCACATTATTTGCTTCCTCTCATTTTCCCAATGTAATTATAATTTCTAGTTAAGTCAGTATGCAGAGTGTACATTCCTATTATTATATGCGTCTTAGCCCTACTGAGGCAGGTAGAGTGGTAGGATATCAATTTCTTTCTTATGAAATGTTTTCTTGGATTTAATAAAAGCATCATATTTTGATTTGCTTAGTTTGGAGTATGTACTGTTTATAAGTCATATATCCTCAAATTCTCTCCCAGACGCGTTAAGTTCTTGTAAATACCTTCAGATATATCAGGCAACCTGCGGATTGCATTTTTTTCTTTTTTTCTTTTTCTGGAGATCTTCCCTCCTGGTGCTCTTTAACCTTTTATTTCTATTCAGACATCTTGCTCTTCAGGCATGGAGCTGTTGCTCTGGGATGTCCCTTCACTGAGACTCTAGCAATTCTCTTCACCTCTCTTCATGCTCAATCCCGTTTTTGAAGCCTATATATTCCTTTATGGTTTATTTCTCTAACGCTTCCCTGAGAAAGCGTGCATTAATATTTAAAAAATCACTTGTCTAAAGGCAAAGTTTATGATGCAGATATATTGTCATCCATTAAAAATATCTGCATTGTAAAAGATCGAAAACATAAAGGCTTACTTGACATAAATAAATAAATAAGTAAATAAATAAATAAATAAATAAATAAAATCACTTGAGATCTAGTCTGCAATTATCTTTACTCTGCCCTAATATTTGATTATAGATAGCGGTATAAAGTATTCAAGGCTGGACATTTTTCCCCTCAAAATTTTAATGGAAATGTCTTTATTGTTACTACAGAGAAACCTGATATTACTGCTGAAAAATCTATTAACATTAGACTCTTGTTTCTTTTATCCTGATTTGCATTTTGTTTTGTTTTGTTTTTCCTGAAAACTCTCAGGGCTTCTCTTTATCTATAGTGCTCTGAATTTCAGGCAATTATTCTTTGGATTAGTCTTTTTATTTTTCATTTATTGTGTTGGAAACAAACCAGATCCTTTCAATCAAGAATAGAATGCCACTTAATTTTTGGGAATTTTCTTGTATAATTCTCTTCATTTTATTTTTTTCAATTCATGCTAGTCAGATATTGGAGGCTCTAGATTGACTTTTTTTTTTTTAGATTGACTTTTTAAATATCTTTTCCATTTTCTGTTCCTTATTGTTCTATTTTCAAAGATTTTCTTAATTTTCTTTCCAGATATTATATTGAAGTCTACATTTCTGTTGTCATATTTTAAATTATTTGAGCTATTTTTATTTTCTGTGTGTTTCTTAAACTATCATGAACATTTCATCCATACAATGTGTTATATCTCTGAGGTTTATCTTTTTATTTTAATTCCAGCTGTTATATTACTTCCAAATGTACAGTATAGTGATTCAAAAATTACATACATTACAATGGAATATTACTCAGCCATTAGAAATGACACCCACTTTGCTTCCACGTGGATGGAACTGGAGGGTATTATGCTGAGTGAAGTAAGTCAATCAGAGAAGGACAAACAGTGCATGTTCTCATTCATTTGGGGAATATAAAAAATAGTGAAAGGGAATAAACGAGAAAGAAAAAATGAGTGGGAAATATCAGAAAGGGAGACAGAACATGAGAGACTCCTAACTCTGGGAAAAAACTAGGGGTGTTGGAAGGGGAGGTGGGCAGGGGATGGGGATGACTGGGTGACGGGCACTGAGGGGGGCACTTGATGGGATGAGCAATGGGTGTTATTCTATATGTTGGCAAATTGAACACCAATAAAAAATAAATTTATTAAAAAATTTTACATACATTACTTGGTGCTCATCATGCCAAGCACACTCCTTAATCTCCATAACCTATTTAACCCATCCTCCTACCCACTTACCCTCTGGTAACCATTAGTTCTCTATAGTGAAGAGTCTGTTTCTTGTTTTGCCTCTCTCCTTTTTCCTCTGCTAGTTTGTTTTGTTTCTTAAATTTCACATAGGCATGGAGATCCCTGGGTGGCTCAGCAGTTTAGCACCTGCCTTCAGCCCAGGGAATGGTCTGGAGTCCTGGGATTGAGTCCCAGGTCAGGCTTCCTGCATGGATCCTGCTTCTCCCTCTGCCTCTCTCTCTCTCTCTCTCTGTGTGTGTGTGTGTGTCTCTCATGAATAAGTAAATAAAAATCTTATAAAAATTTCACATAGGCACGAAATCGTATGGGTATTCATCTTTTTCTGATGGACTTACTTCACTTAGCACTATACTCTCTTGGTCCACCCATGTAGTTGCAAATGGTAAGATTTCATTCTTTTTTTTTTTTTTGTGGCCAAATAATATCTTACAACACACACACACACACACACACACACACACACACACACACACACAATTCCTTTACCCATTTATCAGTCAATGGACACTTGGGCTGTTTCCCTGATGGCAAGTGCTGATGAGCATCTTTTTATACATCTATTGGCCACCTGTATGTTGTCGTTGGAGAAATGTTTGTTCATATCTTCTGCCCATTTTTTAATATGATTATTTGGATTTGGATATTGAGTTAAGTTCTTTATGTATCTTCTCCAATCTCATAGGTTGCCTTTTATTAGTTTTGTTGATTGTTTCCTTCACCATGCAAAGTTTATTTTGATAAAGTTCCAATAGTGTTTGTTTGTATTCTTTTGCTTCTGGAGACATATCCAGAAAAAAGTTGCTATAAGAAGTTACTGTCTGTGTTCTCTCTAGGATTTTTATGGTTTCAGGTCTTTAATCCATTTCAAATTTATTTTTGTATATGGCATAAGAAAATGGTCCAGTTTTCCCAACACACTTTGTTGAAAAGACTTTGTTCCCACTGGATATTCTTTCCTGCTTGGTTGTAGATTAATTGACCATATAGTTGTGGGTTTATTTTTGGATTTTCTATTTTGTTTCATTGAACTATGTGCCTATTTTTGTGCTAGTACAATACCGTTTTGCTTACTACAGCTTTATAATATAATTTGAAGTCCAGAATTGTGATGCCTTCAGTTCTGCTTTTCTTTTTCAAGATTGGTTATTTGAGGTCCTTTGTGGTTCCATACAAATTTTAGGATTATTTGTTCTAGTTCTGTGAAAAATGCTTGTTTATATTTTGATAGGGATTCAGAGTATAGACATTTTAACAATATTCGTCCTTCTATCCATAAGCAGGGAATGTCTTTTCATTTCTTTGTGTCCTCTTCAATTTCTTTCATCAGTGTTTTATAGTTTTTAGAGTGTAGGTCTTTAACCTTTTCAGTTAGAGTTCTTCCTAGGTAATCTTATTTTTGATACAATTGTAAATGGGATTGTTTTCTTAATTTCTCTTTCTGCAGTTTCATTACTAGTGTATAGAAATGCAAAAGATATCTGTACATTGATTTTATATCATTTACTGAATTTGTGTATCAGTTCTAGCAGTTTTTTTGGCAGAGTCAGATTTTCAGTCTAGAGTATCAGGTCATCTGCAAGTAGTGACAGTTTTTTTTTTTTTTAATAGTGACAGTTTTACTTCTTTCTTCCTTACTGATTTTATTTTATTTCTGTTTGTTGTCTGATTGCTCTGGCTAGGACTTATGGTACTATGCTGAATAAAAATAAAATAATAAAAGTGATGAGAGTGGACCTCTTTCTCTTATTCCTGATCTTAGGAGAAGAGCTCTTAGTTTTCCTCATTAAGGATGATATCAGCTGTGGGCTTTTCATATATGGTCTTTATTATGTTGAAGTATGTTCCCTCTAAACCCTACTTTGTTGAAGGTATTTATCATGAATGGATGTTGAATCTTGTCAGATGCTTTTTCTGCCACTATCAAAATGAACATATGGTTTTTATCCTTTCTCTTGTTGATGTGATATACCACATTGATTGATTTGTGAATATTGAACCACTCTTGCAATTTAGGAATAAATCCCACTTAATTGTGGTGGATAATTTTTTTTATGTATTGTTAGATTCCATTTACTAGTATTTTGTTGAGGATTTTTACATCTGTGTTCTTCAGAGATATTGGCTTGTAGTTCTCTCTCTCTCTCTCTCTCTCTCTCTTTTAATAGTGTCTTTATCTGGTTTTGGCATTAGGGTAATGCTGGCCCCATACAATGAATTTGGAAGGTTTCCTTCCTTCTCTATTTTTTGGAATAGTTTGAGGAGAGTAAATATTTGGTCCTGGACTTCTGTTGGGAGTTTGTGATTACTGATTCTGTTCAGATTTTCTATTTCTTCCTGTTTTGGTTTTGGTAGGTTATATGTTTCTAGGAATTTATCCATTTCTTGTAGTTTGTCTAATTTGTTGTCATACAGCTTTTCATAATTTTCTAATTTTTTATATTTCTGTGGTGTTGGTTTTTTTCTCTTTCCTTTGTAATTTTGTGTCCTTTCTTTTTTGTTGATACATCTGGCTAGAGGTTTATAATATATTTTTTTCATTTTCACCTACCTGATTTATATTTGTTTTCTCTTAACTTTCTTTTCTCTCTTTTTTTTTTGTCTTAAAGTTTTTATTTATTTATTCATGAGAGACACAGAGAGAGGGGGAGAGAGAGAGGCAGAGACATAGGCAGGGGGAGAAGCAGGCCCCCTACAAGGAACCCGATGTGGGACTCAATCCCAGATCCCGGGATCACGCCCTGAGCCGGAGGCAGATATTGAGCCACTGAGTCACTCAGGCATCCAAGTTTCTTTTTTCCTATTCATTTTAGTCACTTCTGTATTTGACGTTTCCCTTATTTCAATTGCTACTTAGCTGTTTGTGTTTCAGAGTGAGACATGGTATGGCTGCCTTGGATCTCTGCGTGCCTTAGGTTTGAGGTTAGCCCCACTCTCTCTGCATCATTAGTCTGGGCCATTCATCGGGAAATTCACAACTGTCAAATTCTGCACATCAGTGCAGATCTTTCTTGGAAAGATCACATTTCCCGGAAGTAAAATTCTCTGATCTATTGCCACAGGAATCATAATACAGTCTGCATTCCAGAGCTCAGTGGGTCTCTGGGCAATGGAATTACATGCAGAGCATATACTTTTACTTAACCCTTGTGTATCATTGTGATATCCACTCCACCTGCACCTGATCACTCAGAGTCTAGAGGCCCTTTGCTTCCACCTCCTGAAAGAGTAATCCTTTCACTGGCCAGGGGAAAACCAAATGGCATCTGGTTACATTTACTCATAATTCAGCCAGTTGTGTTATTTTCTCAGCTTTATATTCTATTTGAGTTCTCTTTTCCCTAGTAAACATGCACTCTCTTGGTTTTTATTCGGTACAGTCACTCAAGCATCCATATTAAAATGGTCTGGATAGGGACGCCTGGGTGGCTCAGTAGTTGAGAGCCTGCCTTCGGCCCAGTGTGTGATCCTGGGGTCCCGGGATCAAGTCCCTCATTGGGCTCCCTGCATGGAGACTGCTTCTCTCTCTGCCTATGTCTCTGCCTCTCTTTCTCTGTGTCTCTCATGAATAAATAAATAAAATCCTTTAAAAAAATTAAAAATAAAATGGTCTGGATAGATGACAAAATGTTTGTTTTTTTATATATATATTCTTGGATTATTTAGATTATTGGGAATATTTTAAATTAGGTAAATATATTTTTTACAAATAAATTGTATGATCTTTTTAAAAAAATTAATGTTGCATATTTCTCAGATTTTTAAAATTTGTCTTGTGAAACTAGAATAGTTGCTAGTGAAAGAATATTATTACTTCCCTGTAATAGCAGATGGGTGGTTATATCAACCTGTTCTATTTCTTTTATAAACATTACAGTAAATGAGGTTTGATTAGACAGTAATTCAAATAGACTACTTTTGTTCATGCAAAGTGCTCTTTATTCTCAAAGTATGTTTTAGTTAGCTTGGGCTACTATAACAAAATACCATAGAGCAGGTGGCTTAAACAACAGACATTTATTTCCTTACCATATCAGAGGCTACAAGTCCGAAATCAAGGTGATAGCATGGTCAGGTTCTTGTCAAGGGTCCTCTTTTTGGTTTGTAGACAGCCACCTTCTTGCTGTGTGCTCACTTGGTCTTTCCTGAGGGCATGTTCATAGACAGGAAAGCTCTGTCTTTTCCTCCTCTTCTAATGGCATTAATCTCATCATGTGGGCACCACCCTAAAGTATTATCTAAAATATATACTTTCTAAAGTCACTCCCTCCAAATATATTAGGGCATAAGGCTTCAATTTATGAATTTGGTGTGTGAGGGGGTGGCACAAACATTCACTCTATAACACTGTACCTCTGAGGTTAATTGTCTCATTGCATTATATATGAATAGATACTAATTTTATTTATTCTACATATAACTCCTGTTACTCATAATTTATGGGCTATATTTCCAAGTTATAAAACCAATTTTCTTCCTGTCTTATTCATTTAAAGGGATTTATTACATAAGGGATAATGGTTTAGGTTGGGGTTGAAATCCTAAATATGCCTCTAACTAGCTGTGGCAAGGTATGTGATATTTGTATATTTGCTGCCTAATCTATATCATGAGGAGGAGAATAAAGCCTTCAAAAGCCTGTTTAGGGGATTAGATAAGTTAAAAGATACTACTATATAAGTTCTGATACTATTATTAATATACTAAAAAGAGATCTGGAGAAATTAATGAAAATAATGGGAAACACTGATTGTTCCCTGGATATCATTTAGGAAATAGTTTTATCAGTCTTGATATCCATGCCTTTCTGTTCATATTTTTGGATGAAATTTTTAAAAATATATGATCCATTCAAAGATTCTTTCATACCCCTTTCAGGATGGCCCTTTGGAAGCACAATGTGCAAGATCAGTGGATTCATCCAGGGGATTTCAGTTGTGGCTTCAGTCTTTACTTTAGTCGCGATAGCTGTGGATAGGTAAGTCAGCACCAAAATGTATAATCTACTAAATCTGATATGTCTGTCCAAAATATGATATCCTACTCTTTTAAGATTAATAAGACTACCAAAATTTTCATATTTTAAAATTAAATAAATAGGAATGATATATATCTTAGTTTGGGCTGCTATAACAAGATACCATAGACTGCATGGCTGAAACAACAGAAATTTATTTCTCACAGTTCTGGAGACTGGGCAGTTCAATGTCAGGATACTAGTAGCCTCTGAGTCTGGTGAGAAACCTTTTCCAGGTTTGCAGAAGGCCATCTTCTCTTTGGAGCCTTGAGCTCTGGTCTCCTCTTTTTAAAAGGTCACTAATCCCATAATAAGGACCGCACTCTCTTGATCTTATCTGAACCTAATTACCTCCAAAAGGTCCTACCTCCTAATACCATGCAGTCGGGATTAAAACCTTAACCCTTATTCCAGGTACGAATTTGGGCGGGGGGGGACACAAAGTCTTTAACATCATAGTTATACTAGTTTTCACTAGGATCTTGAATTTTCCAATGGTGGAAATGTGGTGAAATAAATCAAATTTCATCCAGATTTTAAGAGAGAATTTACTAATACATTCATCTTCACATAGTGTTGAGGTATGCCTGTACTGTGCTGGGCTGTATATCATCTAAAACAAATTAGACAAAGTGCTACCTAAAGATGTCCACACTCTGGTAGAGGCAGATAGACACATTAACAAATACTTACAAGTAATACTAATATAACAATTGTACAAAGGAGAGAGTGATCAAATTACCTCTCAGGATAGAAAGTGTTCACAGAAGACGTCATACCTGATCCCTCAAGAAATTTTGGAAGAAACAGAGGGAGCATCTCTTGAAATAGTAGGATACTTGTCAAGATAAATGCAGAGAGGCAGGCTAGCTAGATCATGGGAGGGTGGAATGGCACATAAAGAGGCAAATGGGTTGTTTGTGGGCCTGTCCTCCATTTGTCTTGAAGACAGCAGGGAGCTACTGAAGTTTTTTTATACAAGGGAATAATGACTAGAGTTTCATTTTAGAAAAACAGGTAGAAAAGGTTTGGAGTTGTGCAAGATTGGAGAAAGGAAGAACAGTTCAACTTTTGTAACAACCTACATGGGAGTGGATGTAAAGCAGTGGCGATGACAATTAGATTTGAGAGGGAAACTGAACAATTACCTGAAGGCTATATCCCCAAGTGAAGAAAAGGAAAAAAACAAAACAAAACAAAACAAGACAAAAAACAAGCAATCAACAACACGACCCCCCCACACACACACACAGGATAGAGTGTGGTGAAAAAACGTGAAATGCAATAGAACTGTTGATATAAAAAAAAACTTGGTAGATTCTATTTTCAATAGAAAAAGAACCCATCCTATAGATCTGGCATTTTGGTTTCCAAGTAAAGAGAACAGAATTTACGATATATGCTAACCACCAAATGCCAAAGATACCTTTTTTACATTGAAATTTGGCAGCTAATTATTTCCAAGTTTACTACATCCTGTTACTATTAGTTTTTTGCATACTAATTCATACTAATATTTACTTTATACTAGTAATGGTGCTACTATTTTGTCCTAAATTTGTAATACTATACCTTAATTTTACGATTATTTATGTTATCTCTACAATGAATTAAAAAACTAATATCCTTTGCATTTTCTACTTGAGTCTTGAGCTTATCAGGTTTACTGTCACATCACATTTAGTATTAAATATCCCTGAATTTCTTTTTCGCTGTTACTAGTATGCCTCTTAAACAGAGATTTCATTTTAAAAAGTAAGGTTAAAATAATAAGTATATTGTACTATATTTATTAACTATATGGTGGCTAAAATTAAGGAACTAGATCAATGTATATACTAAGATGCATAAATTTCAAAAGCACACAATCTCAAAGCTGTAGAATGATACATATAATATAGGGCCATAATATAGAATTTAAAATGTTTTAGATGCAGACTAATATTGTAAAAGCATAAATACATTGACAGAAAGGATACATAACAACATTAGGATTTCTGAATAAAATGGAATAGGATTAGGATTAAATAGACCTACCAAAAAAAATGTCATCCGTATCTGTCATGTTTTAGGACTTTTATAAAGTGATGAAAATATGGTCACCTGCTATGATATGACACAGCCTTTGCTTCCTGCCTTCCCATCCGTGTATCATTTCTCTATGGTTTCAGTTATCTATTGCAGTATAACAAGGCACCTCCCAAAACAAGCCACTTAGTGCCTCATGGTGCTTTCAAATCTATGATGAGGGCAGCTTCACCAATTGGAGAAATATACCTCATCTCTGCTCCACTTGGCACTAAAGGGGCAGCTCCAAGGCCAGGAATGATGTCTTTCTCTTATTTGGTGCCCAGACTGAGAAGACTTGAACATCTAGGACAAAGAACTGGGGCTTCTCAGGCCCCATATGGTCTCCACAGCATGGCAGCTTCAAGGTAGCTGATCTTCTCACAGGTGTGTCCTAAGAGAGAGTGGTAGTGAAAGTCACACAGTGTCCCTTCTGCATCCTTCTCATTAGAATTGAGTCACAGGGACGCCTGGGTGGCTCAGTGGTTGAGCATCTGCTTTTGGCATAGGACGTGATCCCAGGTCCTGGGATCCCCTGGGATCCCTGCAGGAGAGCCTGCTTCTCCCTCTGCCTGTGTCTCTGCCTCTCTCTGTGTGTCTCTCATGAATACATAATAAATCTTAAAAAAAAAAAAAAAAAAAAGGAAGTGTTACTAAGGCCATTCCATACTCAATGGCCTTTGGAAGGTATGTTAAAGAATTTGAACTTTTTTTTTTTTTAAGATTTTTATTTATTCGAGAGAGTGTGAGAACAAGAGTGATTACGGGGGGGGGGGGGGGGAGAGAAGTAAACCCACTGCTGAGCAGGGAGCTGATATGGGGCTTGATCCCAGGACCCTGAGATCATGACCTGAGGCAAAGGCAGATGCTTAACTGACTGAGTCACCCAGGTGCCCCAAATTGAACTTGTTTTAAAATCATACCTTCATCTCTATTTGAGAAACTGGCGCCTAAATGCCTTTCTTAGGGTTAGCTCTTAGAGGAAGCCAAACTACAAAAAATTTCCCAAAACTATTTCTCTAGATTCTTTCTCTTAAATTTCATATTTATGTTCAAAATACCTCCTGAATAACTTCACCTGCACATCCAACAACAAGCACCTCAAAATAAACTGACCCAGAATTCAAATTTCATTCCTACCGGTCCTCCACAAAGAAAACTTTAAAAGCTCCTTTTCTCATTTTCCCATCGGTGAATGTCAGGATCACAAACCCAATCTAAATGAAAATCTTAAGATTTATCCTTGAACCTTCCTTCTCTCTTAAACCTCTAGTTACTCTTCAAATCCCATCACTTCTGGGTGCTCACTGGTCCAGAACAAGACTTGAGATAGAATACTTGGGATTTTTTTCCCTAACTGGTTGTGGTGATTAATTTTATGTGTGAAATGGACTGTGCATGGGATGCCTAGATATTTGGTCAAACATTATTCTAGGTGTGTTTGATGAGATAAACATTTGAATCAATAGACTGAATAAAAGATTGCCCTCCCTAACATGGGTGGTCCTTATTCAATTAGTTGAAGGCCCAAATACAAAAGATTGACCTTAAAAAAAAAGAAAAAAAAAAGATTGACCTTCCTGCAAGTAAGAGAGAACTCCTCCTGCTGAGCTGAGACATGAGTCTTTTTCTGCCTCAGACTCAAAATACAACAATTAGCTCTTCTGGGGTTGGAGCCTGATGGCTTTTGGATTGGAATGTGTATCAGTGGTTGTCCTATTCTCAAGCCCTCAGATTTGAACTGGAACTATACCATTGGCTCTCCTGGGTCTCCATTTTGCCAACTGCAGATCTTGGGACTTCTCAACTTCCATAGCTGCATAAGCCAATCCCTTAAAATAAATATCTTTCTAGATATTTATACATACTTTTGGCTTTGTTTCCCTAGAGAACCCTGACTAATGCAGTGGCTAAGTCTAAACTCTACCATGACTTTAGCATAATTGCATAATATTTTCATTGACTGTTTCCTGGCAGAGAGCATTTCCTGATGTGTTTATCTTTGCCTCTCTGAATACATGTATTTGTTGAATAAATGAAAAAAAAATATGTGAAGCCCCAATAGTTGACTTACAAAAAGAGCAAGATAACTAGAACTGTGCCCATGAAGTTATCTATAATTTAAGGGTGAGTAGATGGGGAACTCATTAATTAGAAGACTAAAAGAACACTTGGAGGTTAAGGCAGCAGACCTTACATATGCAATAAAGGACAACAGAGCCATCAACGTTCAAGTTAATTAGTATATGAAGATATGTCAGATAAATATGGAACTGCTGGTAAGCCACTAAAAAGCTTTAAGTCTTCTTATCTTCAGATCTGGAAAGTAGTAATTTTCATATTTCCATTTCACAGGATAATTACAACAACCCAAGATTAAGTAGGTGATTGATAGTACTCTGAAAAATATAAAATATTATACAGTTGTATATGGTATCATTATAATTATCATAGTGAGTATGAATAATAACACCAAGACTCACAATAGCAAAACTGCAGTAAAATGAAATCAGGGTTATTCTACATACTGATACTGAATTTCCATGCTCACCAAAGGACATAGAACATCTGGAAGGCACATAATCAGAATTCATAATGGGAACTCTCAGACTATTACAGCTGTGAATCAAGCCACCCAAACACTTTAGTGGCTTGAAACAATAATGCTTAAGCAATTCTCATAATTCTGTGGTTTGGATGGGTGCCTCTGTGTCATCGCTCAAGCTTCTGTTTATGTCATCCTTGTTAATGTTCAACTGACCGAGCATAGAAGGTCATGAAGGAGAGTTTAACAAAATGGACTACTTGTGTTAAAATCATGTGTACTTGTGGGAAAGATTTTTTTTTACCCTTTCTAAGCCTATTTTGCCCTCTTTTAAGTGGGGAACCTTAAGGAGAAAATTAATGCAAACCAATGAAAGAGAATCTGGGACAGAATACTAAATATTCACGTTCAATATATGCTAGATACCATGGTCACTTTTATTATTAATAGTAATCATTGCTATTAATATTAATAATATTAATGGTTACTTTAATTATTATTAATATAATAATTATTATTAATAGTATATTAATACTATAATAATAATATAATAAAGATACTATAAGATATAAAATAATATAATAAAGATACTATAAGATATAAAAATACTATAATAATAACTATAATAAAGATATTCATACTTTGAGTTGAAATTTATATCAGTTACCAAAAAATACCAATGAATGCCTCTCTGTTGCAAATCATAACTTTCAAGGTTTTTGAGGGGAATGTGAGAGAATGAAATTTAATTCACAACTTGGTTAGAAGTTATAAGGCAGTGTTCCACTGATAGTTGCCTTTAATTGCAGGTTCCGGTGTGTTGTCTACCCTTTTAAGCCAAAGCTCACTATCAAGACAGCATTTATCATTATTGTAATCATCTGGGTCCTGGCCATTGTCATTATGTCCCCATCTGCAATAATGTTACATGTACAAGAAGAAAAACATTACCTAGTGAGACTCAACTCCCAAAATAAAACCAATCCAGTCTACTGGTGCCGGGAAGACTGGCCAAATCAAGAAATGAGGAAGATCTACACCACTGTGCTGTTTGCCAACATCTACCTAGCTCCCCTGTCCCTCATTGTCATCATGTATGGAAGGATTGGAATTTCACTCTTCAAAATGACGGTGCCCCACATAGGCAAACAGAACAAAGAGCAGTGGCACATGGAGTCCAAGAAGAAGCAGAAGGTCATTAAGATGCTCCTGATCGTGGCCCTACTTTTTGTTCTCTCTTGGCTGCCTCTGTGGACACTGATGATGCTGTCAGACTATGCTGACCTATCTCTAAATGAACTGCGGGTCATCAACATCTACATCTACCCTTTTGCACACTGGCTGGCGTTTTGCAACAGTAGCATCAATCCCATCATTTATGGTTTCCTCAATGAGAATTTTCATCATGCTTTCCAAGATGCTTTTCATCTCCAGGTATGCCAAAAAAGAGCAAAGCCCCAGAAAACCTACACCCTAAGAACTAAAAACAATGCGATCATAAGTGCATCTCATCAGTTAGCCCAGGGACCTACAATTCAAAATTCACATGAGGAAAAACCCAAACAAGAATTGATGATGTTAGAATTAGGGGAAGTCACTCATAGCAATGAGGTTTTAAAAGAGCTGGTATGATGATTTTAACTATACTGTGAGTTATATATAGAAATACTCTTACTTTCTATAGGTTTGTACTTCAGTTCTTTCTGAGAATATTCTAAAGGAAACATACTGAAAGCCCTCTCTGAACAGAAGTGAAAAAACTGGTTTTATGTTTGTATTCAATCTTATGGTATATAAAATAAATAGAGACTGACATACAAATTTGCCTGGATAAATCCATTTTCTAAGAACAATTTTCAAAGCTTGACCTTTTCCATTTTAGCCATTTGTGTATTAGTCAAGCATGTGTATTATGGGTATACAAATATACACAACACACACATCCATTTTCCCCAAGTGGGATAAATGGGCAATTCTTTGCGTGAGAGTACATTTTATCAATTCCAGCTTTGCTTTTGGAGTTGAAATTTCAGGTTACAGAATTATTTGTGCTTTCAAAATATACTTAGCTTTCTCAGAAATAAGAACTGTAATAGCAAATAAACACTATTTCTTTCTGTTTGAAGCTTAATTTTTTTTCTTTTAAAGAATATAATTAAGATTGATGAAATCATAACATTGTTGGCTTTTTAATATTTTTATCGTTAGGGTGCCTGGCTGGCTCAGTCAGTTAAGTGTCTGACTCTTGATTTCAGCTCAGGTCATGATCTTGGGTCCTGGGATTGAGCCTGAGTTGGGCTCCCTGCTCAGTAGGAAGTCAGCTTCTCCCTCTTCTTCTGCTCCTCCCCTTGCTTATGCCCTCAATCTCTGTCTCTTAAATGAATAAATAGATGCTTAAAAAATATTTTCATAAATAAAATTCATGCCTTTGCTGAACTCATATTTCCCACAGAGGTAACTTGAGACCTCAATTTGCCCTCCTCTCTGATAGAATCTCCGACAGGGAAAAGAGTGACAGCTCTACTTTGTAGTGCTTAGTCAAAGATGTTCAACAATCATTATAAGACTCACATGAAGTCTGTACAGAACAGGACCAATTATTCCAGATTTCCTGCTGGGCACAGCATTTAAATCTGGCACTCTTGCTGAATTTGTAAATTAGTACCACTGTTATAAAGAGACTTGCAAACCAAACCCTTGGATTCTGCTGTGTTTCAATTATGTAATGATAACAGCTGTAAATGCTATCTTTTATTCGAGGGTGAGATTAGTCCTTAGAAAATTTGATAATAAAATAAATAGTTTGGCAAACAAAAATAAATCTCTTGGTTTAGACCTATTGTGTTTTTCCAGTCGTTTATGTGGTTCAAGCTAGAAGCCTTTCAACATTAAATAGCCCTTTGAGAAAATAACTGTTGAGTTTTCAATTGAGTTGAGCTATATGATACAGATTGAATATTCAAATGTCATTTCCTGCACCTTTCAAAAGTTTAAACTTCAAAGTTTATTTATAGAATTTGATCTTATATTCTTTTGCCCTGATTCACTAAAATAATATGTACAGTAGATGTTGAAGATTATTTTGTTAGAGTAATATTTTCTGATGGGCATCCCCACCTTCTACCAGCACCTCAAACCCATAACTAAACCCCACACCCTTACCTGTTCTCAACCTAACTTTTATCAACTTCAACTCCCTTTTACCTGTGTGTTTCCAATACTCTGCTTATGACAGTGTAGGTATTATCAAAGGTAATATATTTTCCCTACCATGCTCATTTTCTTGAGTCGTGACAGAGTTGTTTCATATCCATATTTTTTTTAATTTTTTTTTATATTTATGATAGTCACATAGAGAGAGAGAGAGGCAGAGACACAGGCAGAGGGAGAAGCAGGCTCCATGCACCGGGAGCCCGACGTGGGATTCGATCCCGGGTCTCCAGGATCGCGCCCTGGGCCAAAGGTAGGCACCAAACCGCTGCGCCACCCAGGGATCCCTCATATCCATATTTTAACTAATAGCCGGTTCAAGACAACCTAGGCCACAAGCCACAGGGCATTATTCCCAGACCCTTAAACCTAATGGAATTTGCCTGACTAGATTTCAAAATTTCTTGGAACTGGTGATTCCTTTTTTCTTTCCATTTTCTCTCTTTTTGAAAAGATATGCCTATAACTTTTACTCCATGCTCGTACCATCATTGTGTTTTGGGAGCAAATAACCTGCTTCTTTAATTTCAGAGGTCCATAGATGGAGAGAAGTTGTTCCAAGAAATTTCATTTTCTTTTTTATAGTTAATTCTCCGATATATTTGAAATATATTTTTCATAAGAGAAAAATATAAATTTGTTATAGTATTTAAGCAGTTTTTCCATTAAGTCGTCTCCCTGCCTGGCTTGTGCTCTAGCTCATTAAAGGATCCTAGTTAGAGAATGCTCTCCCTTCTAGATAACGGCCAGCAACAGCAGCCCTACTTGATTGGTTGGTTGTCTGTGCTGCTCCCTTGCTTAGGGACTGTGCTATGGTGCATTGCCTCCTTCTGTTAGGGAGTTTTTAGGTGGGAGGGTGTGTTATGGCCTTTGAATTATGCCATGTACAAATTAAGCACAAGTTCAGTTCAGCAAACAAACACATAAAATAAGAAAAAATCCAGCTTTGATGAACTTATACAGAAAGTTGTACTCCAAAGAACATAAAAAGGTATATGAGTTTCAGTAGAGATATGTTTTGTGTTTGTTTTTAATTACAACATTGAATAAAGATCAGCACAGTCAGTGGTTAGGCCAGCATGGCACAAAGGCAGTACGTGTGGCAGTTAGGATGATAGATATTAGAGAAGGGAAGATAAATTCAAATCAAGGATTGTCTGCTTGTTACCAACAGCATAAATCTGTGCAAATCACTTAATACCTCTGTGCATTGGTTTCTTCATCTGTAAAACGGGGTGATAATAGTACCTGCTCATAAGATTGTCCTTAAATGTGTTAGATTACATAAAGTATTTGAAACAGTGCTTAGTCTTCAAATAATCATCTGTACAATTTGTCACATGTACCACATATTCTAATGGAAAAAGCCAAATTTCTTACTGGATAAAAAAAAAATAAAAGTAAAGGGAGTTTCTTCACCTGATACATAATCCCTGAGTACTTGGGTGTAAGCTTTTACCTATGTCACATAGTGACTGACTAACAGAAGATGGCATATACGTAGCATACAAATGCCAATTAAAGCAAAAATGGGAGAAAAAAAAGTAAATGTAAGTGAAAATCTCAAGTCTGAAGGAATGAAAATGGGCTAAAAACGGACAAGAATTATGCATCACTTCTCTGTACATAGCATATGTGTTTTCTCATGTATTTGCCTTCCTTTTTAAACCATGGGCTTTTGAGGGCAAGAAACAGCTTTTTAATCGTTGTATCTCCAAAATCAGCATGTTGCCCTGAACATGTAGGTGAATAATTGATATCAAGTAAATTGAATATCAGAACAAGTATTCTTATGAATTTGTTACTGTACCATGTTTGTTACCTCTAGGATAGAACACTATGATCTGTAACTGTGAATTGTAATAAAATAAATAAAACATTTCCCTCATAAGAACTATTGTTTTCCACGGGGATCCCTGGGTGGCGCAGCGGTTTGGCGCCTGCCTTTGGCCCAGGGCGCGATCCTGGAGACCCGGGATCGAGTCCCACATCGGGCTCCTGGTGCATGGAGCCTGCTTCTCCCTCCGCCTGTGTCTCTGCCTCTCTCTCTCTCTCTCTCTCTCTCTATCATAAGTAAATAAAAAATAAAAAAATAAATAAAAAATAAATAAATTATTTAAAAAAAAAAAGAACTATTGTTTTCCAATTAAATATTTCTCATAAATGAATAAATCACTGAAGGACACACAATGGTACTTTTGATTTTACTGTAAATCCAAAGTATTATGATGAGTAAAATTTCAAATAAAGAACTTTGCAGGAATTTATTACTAGTTTTCAAATAGTTATTTAATATAATTTCTGGAAATAAAGTTTAAAAAAATTAGAGTCTGATGGTGGAGTAGGAGGATCCTAAGCTTGCCTCCACCCCACAGATACACCTAGATAACACCCACATCAGTGCAAATAGCCCAGAAAGCAACACAAAGACTGGCGGAACAGACTGTCTCTACCTAAATGTAGAGAACAAGCCATAAAAGGTAGGAAGCACTGATGTGCGGTTGGGAACCAACTGACCCACAAGACTATTCACAGGAGGGAGGAACACCACAGACATGAAAGAGGGACAGGAGCAGACCCCCCACCCCCCATCAGCCACCCCAGGCACAGAGGACCCACGCGGAAGACAGAATCTCCACATGTGGCTTTGAAAGTGGAGGGGCTTAACTGTGTGAGTTCTTACAGTGAGACTTAACATCTAGAACTTTAAAAATAGTGGGTTCCCCTCTGGGAGAGCTAGAGGCTGCGAGGAAACTGTATCCCTGTACTTAAAGAGACAGCCTAACAAACAGGCCCGTTGATATACAGCATAGAAGCAGAAGTTTAAAAAACACCTAGGTATATGGGAAAGAGATCTTTTTTTTTTGTATATTTTTTTATTGGAGTTAGATTTGCCAACATACAGCATAACACCCAGTGCTCATCCCTCCAAGTGCCCCCCTCAGTGCCTGTCACCCAGTCACCTCATCCCCCCGCCCACCTCCCCTTCCACTAACCCTTGTTCAGTTCCCAGAGTTAGGAGTCTCTCATGTTCTGTCTCCCTCCCTCAGTGATATTTCCCACTCATTTTCTCTCCTTTCCCCTTTATTCCCTTTTTCTATTTTTTATATTCCCCAAATGAATGAGACCATATAATGTTTGTCCTTCACCGATTGACTTACTTCACTCAGCATAATACCCTCCAGTTCTATCCACGTCGAAAAAAATGGTGGGTATTTGTTGTTTCTAATGGCTGAGGAATATTCCAGTGTATACATACACCACATCTTCTTTATCCATCATCTTTCAATGGACACCGAGGCTCCTTCCACAGTTTGGCTATTGTGGACATTGCTGCTAGAAACATCGGGGTGCAGGTGTCCCGGCGTTTCACTGCATCTGCATCTTTGGGGTCAATCCCCAGCAGTGCAATTGCTGGGTCG